GTTCAACACTACAATCCACCTCTAGTTATTCTACTTCAGAGAAAGAATGTGATAACATAAGTCAGGGTTCAGTATTCATGTTGTTGTTATGAACTAAAGCTGGCACTTCCAACAATTCCAGAATTTAATGCATTGACATCTCCATTTCCTGCTGTGCAATCAGTTTCTCCTTTCTGGCAAATGCCCTGAAAAAAAAAGAAATATTCTAGACACTAGCAATCTAAACACTAGTATATAAAAATGTCATTGACGAAAAAAATACAAAAAGAACAAACAAACAAATATAAATTGTATGGTCTTACTGGGCCCCAAAACCTATAAACCATACAAACATTACCTACTAGTATACTAGTACCTTACTTTGTCTCCAGATAATAGGGCCATTCAGATATTACCTGTACGGTGACATACCTAGTACAAAGAGGAAAGGGCCATGCAAAGTTTACCTATAGGTGCCTTACCTGGTCACCAGATGAAAAGGCTACACAAATATTACCTGTACGGTGCCTAACATGGTTCCCCAGATAAAAGGGCCACGTCCAATATCAACTGTATGGTTCCTAACCTGGTCCCCAGATGAAAGGGCCATGCCAATATCACCTGTACAGTGCCTTACCTGGTCCCCAGATGAAAGGGCCACAAATATTACCCGTACGGTGCCTTACCTGCTCCCCAGAAGAAAGGGCCACGCCAATATCACCTGTACGGTGCCTTACCTGGTTCCCAGATGAAAGGGCCACACCAATGGACCTATACCATTATTACGTCACAGTTTGTTTACCTGTTCTAAAGAACATTCTAGAACGGTCAGTTAAAGAATAAAGATCATTTCAAAGTTTTCAAAGTCAGGTATGTCTGTTTTTTGCTGCGTCTAGTTGTGTTGACACAGCATTACATGCCGCATGGGTGATTTAGCTGTGACATTAGACGAAAGTAGTACTGTATTAAAAGCCTTATATTAGGCTAACGCTACACAAACACACACCGCGCTACGCACCCCTGTACAATATAAACGTCGACTGACCGGCATTCACTGCGATAAACAAACTGTGACGTAATAATGGTATAGGTCCATTTCACCTGTACGGTGCCTTACCTGGTCCAAAAATGAAACGACCACACAAATATTACCTGTAGGGCGCCTTACCTGGTTCCCAGATGAAAGGGCCACGCAAATATTACCTGTACGGTGCCTTACCTGGTTCCCAGATGAAAGGGCCACGCAAATATTACCTGTACGGTGCCTTACCTGCTCCCCAGATGAAAGGGCCACGCAAATATCACCTGTACGGTGCCTTCCCTAGTCCCCAGATGAAAGGGCCACGCAAATATTACCTGTACGGTGCCTTACCTGGTTCCCAGATGAAAGGGCCACGCAAATATCACCTGTACGGTGCTTACCTGGTCCCTACATTATGAAAGGCCCATGGAAAGTATTTCCCGTATACGCGTACGCGTACGGCGTTTTACTGGTAACGTAATCTAGACCCAACTCCCTCACGCAGTCATTACCTGTAAGGTTTCCAGAGCTAAGAGCCGCACAAATGACTGTTTGTGGCTTATCCACCGAAGTGGAGTGATTATAGTCGTAAAGGTTGACGTTTTTTTGCCCCTAAAAGTTGTGGATAAACGCCGGCAGCCCTCCCCACCGCTAGCTACCCCTCACTGCAGCAGCTGATACCCCGACCAATAGCAGCGTGGAGCTTGCTGAGAAATTGACCAATAGCGGCGTGGCCGTCTTTCGTGGCCGTCCTACCATATTCTAGACCAAGCCATACCTCTTCACCACGGAAGCCATCTTTGTTCGCAGTGCATCTTGGGAAGGGTGGCTTCCGTCATGCCTTGTGTGAGGTCATAGGTCACATGCAAATGAGCAAAATGGCAACAACCGCGGAAGAACGAAAGCTTCACCGTCGGACGAAGTCAACGTCTTCTGTAGAAGATAGGGAGAAGGTTAAGAAGCAAAAAGAAGCAGAGAAAGATAGACGAGAGTTTTACGAAAAGCCGTGAGTATTTTGTTTCCTTGCACCGCAACAGGGCCAGCAGGGTCGCGTTATCCAAATTCCCATACGCGCGACACTTCTGAGCTCGCCTTTCTGCTGAGCTTTCATTTCTGCTTCAACTAGCTGAACTTGAATTCTGTTTCTTTATGCTTTTAAAAAATTCCAGTAACTCATCTTTATATTGTGTGGTATTTCTAACAGACGTATAACTCTAGTTTGGACCATAAATTTTGTTCAAAACATGACTTAGCCTAATATAATAAACCTATAGCTTATAAGTGCTGTGATTATGTTACTAGTACGTGCCTCAACTCGCGTACACTCGGTGTAACATAATTATCTTTAGTCAGCATTGCAGCTAACGTACGTGAGTATTCCGCCATAGACTCATATATTTACTGTGGCATGAATAATTTCATGGAGGTAAAAAAGAGAAGGCTTCTCTTTTTTACCTCCATGATAAATTTCCGCTCCACTCTTGAGAACTGCAACCCTTGGGGTAGCTAGGCCGTGGTGAAAGGCATGACGAAAGAGGCGTGGTTTCGTCCTTCATATACCGCAGTCCCCACGAGGACGTGGTCCAAAAGTAGGTCAAGTAAAGGTGTGCCCATGCAGTGATGCATGCTGTGCACGTAATAGTTCCAAACGCCAACGTGCCACAGGTTTCAAGGACACAGCCCTTCCTCTTAGAAAAGGGGGAGGCGCGTAAATCATACCATGGACCCTTGATGGAGTTAAAAAAGATGTAAATTAAATCCTTCCCACATCTTTCACCATTTCTTTTGGTTATAGAGCAGTGCCCATCTCCATTTCTAGAGCCCCAGGGCCACACAGATGTGTACGCTACAACAGGTGGCTTGTTCACAGATAAGTCTTGTCCAATGACCAGCTCAGTAGAGAAACTCTGTTGACCCACCAGACTGCAAAGCAAGCACTGTGCCCACTAGGCCATTGCATGATTTGATGGGATCATGGCAAGATAAGCGGTGCTTCTGTTACCAAATTTAGTTTTACAGTGATGATATCATTCCATCTGAACTTGATGGTCCATTCACTCGCATAAGTATGAGGTAGAAGAGTTATATCTTTCACCTGATGTTTTTATTTGGTTTCAGGATCCACTTTTCATCAGAGTCACTCTTCAGCACTGGCAGTGGCTACAACAACTACAGGGGTGTTCTCAACCTGTGCATTGTCTTACTGGTCAGCTTTTACACTTTTTATGTGGAGTAGACAAAGAATGTCATCTGTATCTAGAGAATATAGCATGTGACAGTGTTATAATGCATGCTAGGACAATGAAAGTCCAAATACATGTTCAACATGTGAGTTAGGGATTTTCATAGCTGTGTATTATGAGCTATACATACAAAAAATATAGAAGGAAGTTCTAAATTGAGCATTACTGGTGCTTTAAGTGTATTGATTATAAGTAGTTGCCCATTATATGTTGGTGACTTGGTGTGATATGGTACTATCAAGGATAGTTAATGATTACCTGTCCGTGCAATACAGAAAATGATTGCATAATAAATTATATGTATAGCATGGCCAGCCCTGTGTATGTGGCAGGAATGATCGGATTGTAATCTGACAATGATTCTGATTCATCAAGTTTTACCACTTTATCATGAAGTTGTACTATATTTTCCTAACCTATGGTCTAATTGTGATTACAGGTGCTGACCACATCACGAGTGGCACTGGAAAACTTGATTAAGTATGACTCTACTTGTTAAGTAGACTCTACAGAGAATTCCCTTAGTATGATATCATCATCTTGATATCTGTGGTAATTGTAGAATTTAAATATGTATGAAGGAAACACCAATGTGGAAATGTTTTGTAGATACATTGTATTATGAAGGAAACATTGTTCCAACCATTTGTCTGTATGCATGCAGGTATGGCATCCTGATAGATCCAGTGTCCTGGGTAACAATCTTTGTGGCAGACCCCTACAACTGGCCCTGTGTCATACTCATTGCATGTGAGTTCAAAGCCTTGACAATTTTATACAGCTACATTTCTACAATGCTGGCTCCAGTACCTTACAGTTCTAGACTGTGTAGGTACTTGAAGAATATAGAATTGTGTATTTGCTCCACAAAAATGAGACATCACGATTTTCCAAAGCTAAATTGAATCTAATAAGTCAACTTAATTTGCACTGGCTATGGCAAATGATGGAAAGGTAGCACTCCTTTTTATAAAAAGGCTAAGGCTGAGGGTTTGCTAGTATTTTGAATATTCTGAATAAGCAGTAGTCATGTTTACCAGTTTTGTGAACAAGAAATAAAATGGCATATAAACATGAAGATTCAGCAATGAAGATACATTAATATCACATAGAAATATACCATTTTTACCATAACTGATATCTCTGCTTTCTACATGCATTTTTCCATAGGTTCCAACATATTTATCCTAGCATCATTTAGCCTGGAGATATGGTTGCTAAAGGTAAGTCTGAAAATCACATATTCAAAGTGAACTTCAAATGCATTTTGAATCAACATTTTAGGATTGCATAAGATGAAGTACATGTACAATGCACATATCTCTGTCATATTAGTTGAAACTTTTATTTTGATGTGTGACTTTTCTCTCCTACTAGGGCTGGATATCAGAGGCAGTAGGGAGGGCGATGCATGTCATCAACTGTGTAGCCATCCTGGTGTTTCCTGCCACTGTTGTTCTCACAGTAGAACCTGGGCCAGGTAAGAATACACTGCTCCATGATCATGTACTAGTAAATAAAAGACAGTACATCTGCTCCCCCTAGCAACTATCAGCTACACTGCAGTGGTCATATTCTTCTTATTCCCTGTCTCAATGTTTCATGAAGTACACATAGTACAAGTGCTCTATCTAGCAATTGTCAGCTGTACTGCAGTGGTCATATTTTTTTCATAACAGCATTGATGGCTGAACTTGTGTCTCTCTTTCAGCTGGTGCTTCTTATGCATTGTTTGTCTACACGTGTGTGTTCCTGAAGACTGTGTCGTACATCGCCACCAATCACTGGCTGCGGTACCAGTACAAGTCCTCGGGACAGCGTAAGGCTGGCAGGAGGAAGCCTGCGAAGAGTGTTGGTGATGGTTCGTACTGATTCTCAAGTTTACAAAATGTATACAAACATAGCAAGTACATTTTGTAGCGTGATAAGTTATGCAGATGTTGCTTAACACCCATTGTGGGGAAAAGTTTTCTATGGAAAAGTATTTGAAAGTGATGTAATAATTATTTATGCCTACTACAAACATTTTTTCTGTGAAAATAGCAGGCGATGTCAACGGTGCAGCACAAAACCTGGCCAATGGGAAACTAGAGACACAACTAGTGACATATCCTGATAACCTGACACTAAAAGGTACCTAGCTTTATCTTCACTTAAAGTAAGAGTGTTCTAAATGTTTAGTGAATTTAGAACACATCAAGTTTTGTTTTTCTAAGCATTAACCAGTGTTTTCTTTTAATGTTCAGTAGATATCATAGATATCACACTAAAGAGTTTTTTTTCTAAAACCTGTCCCAGTTTCTATCATTGGAAGCTTGTACTGTTTGTACTGATTTGAATGCAAACACATTCTAAAACCAGTCCCAGTTTCTACTGACTGAGCTTGCATATTGTACTGTTTGGAATCAATGTAAAATCATAGAATGATTTGCATTGTGACAGACATCCCCGCATCAGTGTAATCAAAGACTGAATACTACTAACATGTTTTTCTCACTCCATCACCCCGTGTATTCCAGATCTGTACTACTTCATGTTGTTCCCCACCCTCTGCTATGAACTTAACTTCCCAAGAACCCCACGAATCCGCAAGAGATTCCTGCTAAAACGCCTGGCAGAAATGGTGGGTGCATGTATGGTCAGATGTTAATACTACATGTACTGTATGTAAAGACCCAACTGAAATGCTGCACTTTGTAGTCATTATTATCATTGATCAGGGTTGTCTTTGTACATTGACTTGTTTGTATGTTCTCACGCAGTACTATTAGTATTGCTTGTAATAATTAAATCATAATCTGCCCACAAAAGATGAAACATTAAGTCAAACAATCTCTAGTAGTATATCACTCTATAAACATGTTAGTTTGATAGTAAAAAGGATCTCACAAGACAGACCCTTCTACTTTTTGGAACATGTTTATGACCTTTATCTTTGATTTTTTTCACTGGAATCTACCTGAAACAAATGTGTTCAAAAATATAGAGTCTGACATAAAATCTTAAGTGCCTCTTTTGTTTTCTTTACATTCCAGTTTATGCTTCTTCAACTGATGCTGGGCTTGATTCAACAGGTGAAATACCACCATCATTTGATATCCCTGATTTAACCATTTTGATGAGCTTGTTATGTATATTTAGTCTATGGTCTATAAGGTGATAATACTATACACATGTACATGTTATTTCAGTTTTGCTTCATATTGTTCAATTGACATGCCTACCCTTGCAAACAATGTTTTATTTCATATATTAGACATAAGTAACTTTCACATGGCTATTGTGTAAAGCATCTATGGCATAGCATGAAATAATGGACTTCAATATGTTTTTCTGTATCATATACCAGTGGATTGCTCCCCTACTTCATAATGCCATCAAGCCATTTGTGGTAAGTGTATTTCAGTTTGGAATTTGTATTGGAACAGGTTTAGATTTCTGTGTTATACTAGTATCATGCATACATTCCAGACCAAAATTAATCAAAACATGTTTTAGTGAGATGCCAAGTCAAGATTTCTTTGGGTCTTCCTCTTCCTGGAAGAATATAGAAAGTTTCAAAAACTAAATCACATTGTGTATATTCTGAAAAATGATACTGGTATCATATGTACATGCACTATGCTTAGCTCTTGAGTAGATGGTCGACACTGCTGGGATGGCATCTTCACCCTTATGGTCATTTTTATCATGTATAGAATGTTAGATATTTTGATTGATAAATTGTCTGCCAATGATTTTCCCCTTTAGGACATGGACCTGCCCATGATGGTGGAAAGAATCATGAAACTTGCTGTGAGTTTTTTTCCTTCTCAACTCTCGGTAGATCCTTTACTGTTCAATATACTAATGCCCCCTAGCAGCTATGCTCAAACTGCAGAGACCAGTCTCAAGCATACCAGGGCACTAGTGACTCTGGTGTTGGTGAGCCAGTCGCTCTGTGGCATTGAACTGTAAAATTGATTATTTCTTGCTTGAGCAATAACATGCCAGACTGCGTAATGCATTCCAATCAGTCACCAGTTCGACCAGACCCATGGGACAGCTGTTTAATGCTTTGGCCTGACATTTGGATAAATCACAATGGTAGGATGCTCACACAAGGCCACCGCCTTACCTACAGGCTATTATTGGCATAGAAATGAACAGCATTTTGGTACTCGGGTAAGGTTTAGACAAGTTCAGCAAACTTTTTTACAACAGCAGAATCAATAGTGATTTTCCAATGTTTGGTCGCCTTTTACATTCAAATGATTTTACAATAATGATAACATCTTGTATTTTACTGTATTTTACTTTTTATTGTATGAAACCATGTTCCAACATAATTTAAAGCAGAATATATTTTGACTGTTTTTGTTGCTTTGCCAAGAAGCAAGGTTATAGATACAATAAGTTCCATTGGCTTTCTTATAGACATGATTTATTGCCCTTAAGGCTAGCCCTCCTTAATGCCACGTCACTGAACTGACAATTGGACAGGGGCCAGCCTTTGTTGTCAAGCAAGTGTGAAAGAAGGATGCTTGTATAAGCAATATAATCCACAAGGGTAACCTTTTCCATTAAACCCTGTTACGCAAAGCAATAGTAGCCCTAAAGTGATTGATGGTATTTAGATATCTGCCACCAATCAATAACTTTGTATCATGGTGTGAGGAACTTTTGTGATGGCAGTATTGTTGAGTCAGGTGGAAGAAGTAGATAAAGAATTAAGTTTCCTGCATCAAATCCATTCCCAGGGTGATCATAAGTATGACCAGGAGGCATTTCTTCCTTGACTGTAATCCACAAGCTGATTGCTTGGGGACTCTCTTCCTCACACGGGACGTTTCCATTGGCTGTTTCCACAGATCCCCAACCACTTCATCTGGCTCATCTTCTTCTATTGGTTCTTCCACTCCAACCTGAACGTATTGGCCGAGATAACACAGTTTGCAGACCGCACCTTCTACAGAGACTGGTGGTAAGTTCTTACACAAGGTATATACGGTTTTCTGGAAACTCTGTCAAACTTATTAATTGCAGATAGACAGAGAGAAAGAAAAAGAACAAGAGAGAACTACATCCTCATGACTGTTTCTCAAATTGTTTTGTAAGTACGAGCAAACTTTCTGTCCTTTCTGTAATGGACTTGGACAAACTCCAAAGTGTATTCTTTTAAAAAGAACCCCAAGGGGACACATTGACGAAATGTTTCCAGAAGGGGCAACCCATTAACTGAGCCATTCAGTGGAAACAAACTGAAGGGGACTTGATCAATGTGGATGATCAGATAGACCTGACCCTAGCAGTACAATAGAGCATAGAATGGCTTCCTGCAAATCTTACTTTGTGTTTAGGCTGCCAGGTGAGGTTAGTTAAGGCCTCAGTGGAAATGGGCATTTAAATTACTGGAAAATAGTTTTATTGACCAACTTTAATGGCAGTATTCTGCAGGGATTTGTAAAATTTTATAATGGTACTTGGGTCTGAAGTGGTAATGATTTTGTTTCTCTAGAGGGACTGAGTTTGCCATTTGGGCCTGGAGGCAGGAAGTGGAGGTCATGGTTATGAGCAATGAAAGGAAAGTTTTTATTGTATAACTTTTAATGGATGTTATTTGGAATATGAGCAATGTGCCGGAACAGTGGCTTGTACACATTTTTCCTATATCTGTATTTGGTAAAGCTGGTGTCATTCTCATCTTTGTTAGGCAAATAATTAGCCAGTTAAATCCAGGTATTGTTTTTTTTTCAAATTCTAACATAGAATATACATGTAACTATGTAAGTATGGCTAATGGACAAGTTGTGATTTAGCACTATGTCTGAAATATCCATAAAACCATACCAAGTGTTCAAAGTTGCTGCTTGTAGTAGACAAAAATAATGAAACTCCAATTCACAGCTTCTCCACAAGACTCACAACTATGGATTTTCTCTCTCAATGTCATTTTTAGGCCTCACTACCCACCAAAAGAACGTCTGTCTGATTATCAATTCCCTCCTGGGTGCCGTAAGTTTTATTCATGGGTAAAAGCAGTGTCATTGGTCATGGTCACATCTCATGAGTGAACGCAGCCTAATGGATGGTTCTGCCCCTATTGCTAAATCAAAGTCAAGTTCAAAGAAAGCCATTAAGGTTGATTTAGCAGCATATTGATTTTTTAAAAGTGAATTGGAAGGGCAGCATTGCCAAGGGGATCTGGTCTTCATGGGTGGAAGAAGCAAAATTTGTCTTTAGTTTTATGGGATCTGTATTAATTCATGAGTTATGACTGCTTCCATACAATGTTCTAACCTGAAGCATTAATGCAATAAAAAATATTACAGTATTGTCTACCTGGGAGACATATGAATAAGTATTAACATGTATCTATTGTGTTACATGCAGCAATAGAAACTTGCCCCAGTCCATGTCTACTTTACTACACATTCATGCACACACTGCTATCAAGATAGCTATACTGTCTACATTATACAGTCCAGCTGTTGGCTAGTCGTACATCTTTTGTAGTTCAACTCTCATGGACAGGGAGAAGTTATCATCGATGGCCGATGTCATCCTTAACTTGTGTAATGGATGGCAGTAGTCTGTAGATATCAGTCAAAAGTTGCTGCTGGATTTGTACCAGCAGACAGTGCCAAACCAGAACTGCTGCATGTCTAGATTAGATACTATCCAATACAGGAAGAACTAGATAAACTTTTCAACCAGAAAATTGCTTCTAATCAGCATCAGGTTTGTAACTTATACTTGAGAAGTGCTACACTGTTATCGTACAATTTAAGGACAAGATTTCCTTCGAGAAGCTTTGAGGCTGAAGGTATCAGAATGAATGGATGGTTGGATGGAGTACGAAAGCCCTAATATGATTGATTGATACAGAGATGGATGAGGAAAGGCTTTACTTATGATATCGATTTGTCTGGGGTAAAATATAGGATGTATCAGGAGCTCAACTTTCTCATGTGGACATGTGTTGGAAACTATTAAAGATGTGCCTTTTTTTCACAATTTATGATGCTTAAAGTTGAACAAAGTTGGTCTGACAATTGTTGGCATGTCCATTCCTCTAAGCTGGCACTTCTCCATTTGTAAACCATGTATCGTGTTGATAACTGTTCATCCCTTTAGATTTGATCATTTTTTTGTTTCTGAATCTTGTGTACATGCTATGTCTACTTTTTTGAGTTATGACCAGGACTAGAAGTTAGTGGTCCAACTTCCAGTTTGTCAGGAATGCCTATATATTACATGTAACACTGAACTGCGTCTGCATAACCCTGTTGTCTGACAGACTACATTAAGCTGTAGTTAGTATGCAGCAGACAGACCTGTTGATTGTGATGCATGGGTAGATTACAAGCCACAGGATTCAGCTAAGGCTCAAAGGCTGTGCACCATGGGTTCCCTCTGGATGTGAGTCCCCGAAGTACAATCAGTCATGTATTAATGCACAAACACACCGTGTGAACGCTTCATGATTTCTTTCTTTGGATTAGTAGGCTGTCTGGATGCGTTCCCAGTTTCTGTGCAATGTTCCCATAAAGTTTCACACTCAATTTGTAACTTAGGATGGGATTTGAAAAAAAGGCCAATTGGCCTGAGAAGCTGGGCTGGAGTATGACCCAATCTAGATAGAAGACTTAATATCAAATTTGGCAACATTTTTTGTCAGATTCTGCATCTTTTCAGTACTGATCATTTATTATCAATTCACTTCTCAAGTCTCAGTCTCTTTTTTTCACTTTTCTACAAACTTTGAAATGATAATATAATTTAGGGAACACTTTATTGGTAACCTTGTAGAGCAAATTTTAATTTGTAAGTAATTACCACACTTTCATTCAGTCATGTGCGATGTACATTGATCGTGAAGAAGGGGTAGCCATGAATTAATTGTAAGAGCCTGGAATCACCTTCCTGATCCGTACAGCGTTAGCAGCCACAAGGCCTTGATTACCCTATTGTTATCAGCTCGGAGAGCAATTTCCAGTGCACATGGCTTTAACTAAGGGTCCTTACTGCTGGGCATTTCAATCAGTACCAGTGGCAATAGCAGCCTACAGTCCAATCCTGCAGGGATGGCACCTTCAACCCTGTGGTCACTTTGGTGCAAGGACAGTTGAGGGAGAAAGTGCTGACTCATCCAGACCTCAGTTATCAGATGGTTGAACTCTGGTAGACAATATTGATCTGATTTACATTCACTTAGAATCTTACAGTCTGTGAGAAGAACTGGGGTGTCCAAAAAAACAGTTACTCAAGCAACTGGTTACGATTTGGGAAACGATCAATCCAGTTGCTTGAGTAACTGTTTTTTGGTATATTTTAATACCTAGAGTGTCTAACTTTTACCAACATAATTTGGGTGTCTCTTGATCTCATCCCTACCATGGCTGAAATCTTCTTTTTTTTGTCTCCAGGAACTCTGAGTCTGTCCAGTACTTCTGGTCCAACTGGAACATTCCTGTGTACAGGTGGTGCAAAAGGTGAGAATCACTGAGGCTAAAGACATTCTGTGTCATCTCCTCTTTAACTACTGTGGCATACCTTGTCTATTGGACATACTTGTAATGCATGCATTATAATTTATATGGCACAATCTATACTCAACTGTTTCAATCTCCAAGGCTTAGCTTACATATTAAGACTCTAATCATCTGGTAGTTTAAATAAGTACATGTACATGATTGTACATTGTAGTTAATGCTTATTCGGCTTGCTTTATACTACAGGACTGGCATAGCTTAGTAATCATCTCTCCCTTTCTTCATAGACTTGTTCTGTTCTGTCAAATGTAAAACGGATTTTTTAAATATTATTATTAAGAATTTGAATTATCCTTTATTTCCAGGCACTTATATCAGCCCTTGATGCGCAGAGGCTACAGCAGAATGTTTGGACAAATCTGTGTATTTGCTACATCAGCTTTTTTTCATGAAGTAAGTATGTTGTAACTCAAATGTACATGTATAATTATACCTTTGGCCGACTTATACCGGAGATAATAACTGACTGCAAAGTGTAAGAGTTTCAGACAATAGTTGTTTGTTTGGGCATATACAGGTCTTACTAATCTTAACTTTTAACTTGTTCTCTTCTTAAGCTCTATCTGAAGTCCTATGCATTCAGGGTATTGCATCTAAAGTTATCTGTATT